TTAAACCCGAACCGAACCCGACTAAACCCGAACCGAATCCGACCCGAAATTTTATAATATCTGAATGGGGTTGAAATTCATGAACCCGAAAACCCGAAACCCGAATGAACCCGAACCGAAATCCGATTGGGATCCCGATTGCCCAGCCCTACCCTAAACCATAGAAATAAACTCTAAATCCTAAAACCTAAGCCCTAAATAACAATTCTAACTTTAAACCCTAAACATTCAAATCTAAACCCTAAATTCTAAACCTCAATTCTAAACCCTAAACCCTAAAACCTCAACTCTAAACCTTACTATCAACACTAAACCCTAAATCATAAAAGTAAACTCAAAACCCTAAAATCTAAACACTAAACCACAATTCTAAATCCTAAACTCAAACCCTAAACCCTAAAAAATTACCTTATATCCTAAACCCTAAACCTTCAATCCTAAACTCTAACCTAAATCCTAAACCTTAAACCCTAAAAAAATAAACTTTAAACCCAAACCTCTAAAACAAGAACTTTAAACCCTAGACCCTAAAACATCAACTCTAAACCCTAAACCCTACACTCTAAACCTTAAACCTTAAAGTATATCCTAAAGATTAATATATTATCTGAAAGCTCATCCTGAACACGCTCATGGCTTTCCAAATTCTACAATGCATTATCTTCAATCCGGAAACCCAACTTTAACACGCTCAAGGCTTTCCAAATTTTAGAATACATTATCCTGAAAATTATTATACTAAACTCTAAACCCTAAAACATCAACTCTAAACCCGAAACACTAAACCTTACACTTTAAAGCCTAAACCCTAAAAAAATTACCTTAAATCCTAAAAGCTAAACCTTCAACCCTAAACTCTAAACCTAAACCCTAAACCCTAAAAAAATCAACCCTAAACCCAAACCCCTAAAACATGAAATTTAAGCCATAAACCCTAAAACATCAACTCTAAACCCTAAACTCTAAACCTTAAACCTTAAAATATATCGTGAAGATTAATATATTATCTGGAAGCCCATCTTGAACACGCTCATGGCTTTCCAAATTTTATAATACATTATCCTCAATCTGGAAACCCATACTGAACACGCTCAAGGCTTTCCAAATTTTAGAATACGTCATCATGAAGATTAATATATTAAACTCTAAACCCTAAAACATCAACTCTAAACCCTAAACTCTAAACCTTACACTTTCAAGCCTAAACCTTAAAAAAATTTACCTTAAATCCTAAAACCTAAACCTTCAACACTAAACTCTAAACCTAAACCCTAAATTCTAAAAAAAATCAAACCCTAAATCCAAACCCCTAAAACATGAACTTTAAGCCATAAACCCTAAAACATCAACTGTAAACCCTAAACTCTAAACCTTAAACCTTAAAATTTACCTGAAGATTAATATATTATCTGGAATCCCATCATGAACACGCTCATGGCTTTCCTAATTTTATAATACATTATCTTCAATCCGGAAACCCAACTTGAACACGCTCAAGGCTTTCCAAATTTTACAATACATTATCATGAAGATTAATATACTAAACTCTAAACCCTTATACCCTAATAAATCAACTCTAAACCCTAAACTCTAAACCTTAAACCTTAAATCATATCCTAAAGATTAATATATTATCAGGAAGCTCATTCTGAACACCCTCAAGGCTTTCCAAGATTTATAATACATTATCTTGAAGTTTAATATATTATCCGGAAGCCCATTCTGAACACGCTCAATGATTTCCAAATTTTATAATACATTATCCTGAAGATTAATATATTATTAGGAAGTCCATCTTGAATACGCTCAAGGCTTTCCAAATTTTATGATACATTATCCTGAATACTCCAAACCCTAAACTCTAAACCTTACACTTTAAAGCCTAATCCCTAAAAAATTTACCTCAAATCCTAAAACATAAACCTTCAACCCTAAACTCTAAACCTAAACCCTAAATCCTAAAAAAAATCAAACCCTAAACCCAAACCCTTAAAACATGAACTTGAAGCCATAAACCCTAAAACATCAAATGTAAACCTAAACTTTAAACCTTAAACCTTAAAGTCTATCGTGAATATTAATATATTATCTGGAAACCCATCCTGAACACGCTCAAGGCTTTCCAAAATTTAGAATACATTATCCTGAAGATTAATATACTAAAATCTAAACCCTTAAACCCTAATACATCAACTCTAAACCATAAACCATAAATCTTATCCTAAAGATTAATATATTATCAGGAAGCCCATCCTGAAAACGCTCAAGGCTTTCCAAATTTTATAATACATTATCCTAAGATTTACATATTATCCGGAAGCCCATTCGGAACACGCTCAAGGATTTCCAAATTTTATAATACATTATCCAGAAGATTAATATATTATCCGGAATCCCATCCTGAACACACTCAAGGCTTTCTAAATCTTATAATACATTACCGTGAAGCCTATCATGAACATTACTATATCATCCAGATTTTAATATATTAAGGGTTTGGGGTTTAAGATTCGAATTTTGGAAAAATATAGAGTTTGGGGTTTAAGGGTTAAAGTTGAGGGTTTAGGGTTTAGGGTTTAGATTTAGGGTTTAAAGTTTATGTTTCAGGATGGTTTATAGTTGAAGTTTCAGGGTTTAGAGTTTAGAGTTGAAGTTTCAAGGTTTAGGGTTCTAGAATTGATGTTTCAGAGTTTAGAGTTGAAGTTTCAGGGTTTAGGGTTTAAAGTTGAAGTTTGAAGATTTAGGGTTCAAGATTTTATGTTTCACGGTTTAGATTTCAGAGATGAAATTTCAAAGTGTAGGGTTTTAGAGTTGATGTTTCAGTGTTTAGGGTTTAGAGTTGAAATTTCAGGGTTAGGGTTTAGAATTGAAGTTTCAGGGTTTAGAATTGATTTTTTAGGGTTTAGGGTTTAAAGTTGAAGTTTCAAGATTTAGGGCTCTTTAGAGTTGGATTTCCAGGGTTTGGGGTTTAGAGTTGAAGTTTCAGGGTTTAGAATTGAAGTTTCAGAGTGTAGGGTTTTAGAGTTAGATTTTCAAGGTTTAGGGTTTAGAGTTGATGTTTCAGGGTTTAGGGTTTTAGAGTTGAAGTTTCAGAGTTTAAGGTTTTAGAGTTGATGTTTCAGAGTTTAGAGTTGAAGTTTCAGGGTTTAAGGCTTTAGAGTTGATGTTTCAGGGTTTAGAGTTGAAGGTTCAGGGTTTAGAGTTAAATTTTCAGGGTTTAGGGTTTTATAGTTGATGTTTCAGGGGTTTAGAGGTAAAACATCAGGGTTTAGGGTTTTAGAGTTGATGTTTCAGGATTTAGGGTTTAGATTTGTTGTTACAGGGTTTAAAGTTTTAGAGTTGATGTTTCAGGTTTTAGGGTTTTAGAGTTGATGTTTCAGGGTTTAAGGTTTAGAGTTGAAGTTTCAGGGTTTAGGGTTTTAGACTTGATACTTCAGGGTTTAAGCATTAGAGTTGAAGTTTTAGGGATAGAATTTTTTAGAGTTGATGTTCTAGAGGTTTAGAAGTAAAATATTAGGGTTTATGGTTTAAGAGTTGGTGTTTCAAGATTTAGTGTTTAGATTTGAAGTTTCAGGGTCTAAGGTTTTAGAGTTGATGTTTCAGGATTTAGAGTTGAAATTTCAGGTTTTAGGATTTTAGAGTTGATGTTTCAGGGTTTAGAGTTGAAGTTTCAGGGTTTAGGGGTTTAGAGTTAATATTTCAGAGTTTAGGGATTAGAGTTGAAGTTTCGGGGTTAGATTTAGAGTTGAAGTTTCAAGGATTAGGGTTTAGAATTGATGTTTTAAATTTTATGGTTTAAATTTGAAGTTTCAAGGTTTAGGGTTCTAGAATTTATATTTCAGAGTTTAGAGTCGAAGTTTCTAGGTTTAAGGTTTAAAATTGAAGTTTCATGGTTTAGTGTTTTAAAGTAAATTAGTAAAAAATGGCATAAGGATAAATCATCCATTAATCTATTATTTTTTAATTAATTAAATAAGGGGCATAAGGATAAATTATCCATTTAATGAAACATATTTTTTGTGATTTTTGGCTTTGGATGCTAATTTAGGGATAAAAACTTGAATTTGTGTTATTTTGGTCTTTATTTATAAGAGGACAGTAACTATTACATATATATAGTTAAATTGATGTCAACACATAAATAAAAATAATCACTCTTTTTATTTTTAATAATTTATGGTAAATAAATCAAAACATTCAGTTTATCTATTTTATATGATATATAGTTAATTTAAATGATATATATAAATATATAATATATTTTTAATACAGCTTTCTATTAAACATATGGTTTTCTATTCACCTAGTTTTATGATCATTTGTATCTTTTAGTAACAAAAAAATTAAATCACCAGATTACTAAAAATTTAATGTGGGATTTTTAGTTGTTTTAGAATTTATAATCCTTTTTTAAAACTTCAATACAAATTGTTAATATAAATATTAAGTTCTCAATATTTGTTAATACAAATTTCAAAACTAAAATATATATGTATTTTATATGATATATAATTTAATTTAAACAACTAATATATAAAATCTGTATTTATTAAATGAGATTATTTTTCTTATATAGTTTTATGATCATTTATATATTGTATAAAAAATAAACCACCAGTCACAAAATTTTCAAATGTGAGATTTTAATATTTTATTACAGTTGTTTTAAACAATTCATATAACATATACGAAAAATCTAAATTTATATTAAATGGTTAATGTGATTGTTTAATTTATTTAATAATATAATAGTTTTTATATAGTCTTCTCGAGTATTTTTGTAAGCTTTTTTTAATAACTAAAAAAAAAAAAGAGAATGCCAATCATCCATTTCTTCATTGATAATCGGTTATCACTGTAAACTCGTTTGAAGTTGAAAACTCATCAAATTTAATATAATATTAAAGCAAAATTTTAAACCTAAGGTAAAATGATATATTGCCAATTTTGTCTTTTAGAAAAAAAAAACATTAAAAGGTGGTGCATTTGGCAGATGATTGTTTGACCAAGGAGTATTTAGAGACAAAAATAGACTGGGTACCATCGATGAGTAATCTAAGACTAAAAGACTTTCCTCCTGGTCTCCGTACGACTAATCCTGACGACATTGTGATCAACTTCCTTATCCGTGAAACTGACCGAGCTAAACGTGCTTCTGCTATCATTCTCAACACATTTGATGATCTCGAACATGACGTCATCAATTCCATGCAATCTATTTTACCTCCGGTCTACTCTATTGGACCGCTCCATCTACTCGTAGACAAAGAGATTGGTGAGGAAAGTGAGATAGGACAGATTGGATCGAGTTTGTGGAGAGAGGAGACGGAGTGTTTGGACTGGCTCAACACCAAACCTAGGAGCAGCGTAGTTTATGTTAATTTTGGGAGTATAACTGTGATGAGCGCGGAACAGATTGTGGAGTTCGCTTGGGGTTTGGAGGCAACGGGGAAACATTTTTTGTGGGTCATTCGGCCGGATTTAGTAGCAGGGGATGTAGCAATGGTTCCACCTGAGTTCTTAACAAAGACAGCTGACAGGAGGATGCTGGTTAGTTGGTGTCCTCAAGAGAAAGTCCTGTCTCATCCTGCGGTCGGAGGGTTTCTAACACACTGTGGATGGAATTCGACAATGGAAAGTATCTGTGCCGGAGTTCCTATGTTGTGTTGGCCATTTTTTGCAGAGCAGCAGTTGAATTGTAAGTTTTGTTGCGACGAATGGGAGATTGGAGTTGTTATCAGCGGAGAAGTCAAGAGAAAGGAGGTTGAGGCGGTGGTTAGAGAGTTAATGGATGGAGATAAAGGAAAGAAAATGAGAGACAAGGTGGAAGAGTGGCGGCACTTGGCGGAGGAAGCAACGGAGGGTAAACATGGTTCGTCTAAATTGAACTTTGAATTGGTTGTTAATAAGCTTCTTTTAAAGAAGTAGGAGACTGTTTTAGGAGAGTAATGAATTTTAAACTCCTAAACTTTTGTTACCTTATGCAAAAAAAAATATGCTTCGTTCATTTGGTTCCACCGTATATTTGTCTTTCCAGTCATTCTTTTTAAACGTAAGTTTTAAATTTTAAAGAGCAATTTGGAAGACCTACAAGATAAATAAAAGTTGATACAAGTGAAATACTCCAAGTTCACAAGACCTACATACACATCAAAACTGATAGCTTCTCATGATCGGTAAACTATTCATCCACGATTATCTGGTGTATCTTTTTAACGAAACGTAATCTCAAGTTTTAATTTCCAGGTGTTTCTATCGATTTACGTAGCTTTTTAGATGTTTTTAGTGTTTTTGTTGTACTAGATAGAATCTTTACGTGTAATTTCGTATAAAGAGATACAGAAGCAAGTGAGACGATTATATCAAAGTCGTCGTCTTTCTAGTGTAGGGAGATTGCAGTTGATAGCCTCAGTAACTAATAGTATATAAAACTTCTGGATAATTACGTTTGCTTTCAAGTGAATGCCTAAGAATGAGAAGATATACTATACATTTATATGTATGATTGATATGCTTAAAGTGTTCGTAATGAAATACTCTGTAAATTCAGAGATTCAGTATTAGTAGTATGTATAGGGATCAAACCTACATAGATTCTAAATCACTCAACATATTTAATTTTTGAACTAAGTTAAACAAGTATGAATGTAATGCACGTAAAATATATAAAGTAATTAGGAAGTTTTCACGTAAATCAGAAAGTATTTTGAACCATAGCAATAGATGTATGTTGTAGAAGCTGCATACTCTCACTAAATTAGTTAAAAACGATTGGTAGATTAATAGGAGTATGCTATTTTTTATATATATTTTATATACTATTTTTTATGATAACTTTTAATAGCATACTCCTATATATATATATATATATATATATTTAATTTTATTGAACATATTTCTAATATACAATTAATTAATTTATTTTATTTAATAATATCAAAAAATTATTTTTATATCCAAAAATAAATTTTATATTTTAAAAATATTTTTCTTTTTTTTAAATTATTTTACAAGCAAAGCATTTAAGTTTTTTCTTAAAACAATCTTGTACTTTAAAAATTATTTTATATAAACTATATTTTAAATGTGAAATATTTTGTAAAAAAAAATTGTAAACTTTTTTTCTTAAAAATAAAAGAAAATATTTTGGATGTAAACATAGTTTTATGGTATTATCAAATAAAATAAATAAATTATTACTTTCTTAATTTTATAAATTTTAAATGCAAATGTTATATCAAAGGCTCCATTTGAGAGAATCGAGCAAAAAAACATTTGAAAAACGTTGACATATGGTAAATAGTTTTTACATGCTTTTCTAACAATTGATTGGATAATAAAAACATGATGCTTATGCTAATGTTATGTCAATTAAAATTCATATAATTTTTTTTTGTTAACCGAGTATCCTGACCCCACCGAATTGGTCCAGATTAGAGACCGAAGCGAGTAAGTACACTGCCAGGAGTCACCATGTGGTTCACCTATAACGGTTTTTGGTCTCTAATGCTGCAACCCATATATAAATTCTATAGCGGCTAAGGCTCGAACCCAAGAGTGGACACTCCAGCTGTAACTCATTTACCACTAAACCAAAGCAATTTGGTTAAGACTCATATAAATTGCTAAAATTTTACTAAAAACTGATTGGACAATAAAAACATGATACTTATGCTAATGCTATGTCAATTAAGACTCATATAAATTTTGCTAAAATTTTACTAACAATTGATTGGAAAATAAAAACATGATGCTTATGCTAATGCTATGTCAATTAAGATTCATATAAAAAAATTTTGCTAACCGAGTATCCTGACCCCATCGAATTGGTCCAGACTAGAGACCGAAGCGAGCAAGGACATTGCCAGGACGTCACCATGTGGTTCACCTATAACGGTCTTCGGTTTCGGATGCTGCAACTCATATGTAAATTTCGTAGTGGCCAAAACTCGAATCCAGGAGCGGACACTCCAGCTATAGCTCTTTTACCACTAAACCAAAGCAATTTGGTTAAGACTCATATAAATTGCTAAAATTTTACTAAAAACAGTTCTTGATATCAAAGCACAACAATCAAATCAATCAAATTTTAGTTGCCAAGATTATCTATGTCTGGATCATAAGATTCCAATTTTTTTTTAAAAAAAAAATTCAACAGTTCAGACAAACATTAAGAATGAATTTGATAAGTTTACAAAATCTCTAAACCAAATTTGTGCTGCAAATTAGAATTTTGCTCATGTAAGATTAGTTCAAGGAATTTTATCAATAACATTTTAGAGTCTACCAAATATCATAGATCTAAATCTCAGGTTGTCAATCTAGAACTAGAACTGAGTTCAATCCAGATATAGAAAATAATTATATCAGTCTAAAAATTCATCTTTAACCCTTGAAGAAACCTTAAATCTAATAAACATGATCAATGAAACATAAATTGTTATATAAATACACTGCATTAAGAGATCAAAAGAGTAAATAAGGGAGTTTGATGTAAATAAAGTTTTTCTAAACAATGGATCAAAATAATAGATATTGGTTTAAACACATTAGTGACTTGGTTGCAAATAAGCATAAACTTTGGGCCATTCTTCAATACTTAAAACTTGCTAAAAGACTCTTGCAGAATTGATGTACACGATAAACGTCAACTGACACCATGTCCAAAGATCGATTTCAACTTGATGTTTTCAGCTCCAAATCTCCTTAGGCTCCAAAATGCTCCACGAGCTTTAATCTTATCCAAAACATACATGAACCCATAATGGCTTATAGAGTATTTAAAAGACCAAAAAGATTCTAAAACCACACTTGGAACATGATAAAAAAAAACCATAAAAAACATGATATACTAACTTCCCCAAGACTTATTTTTTCCCTCAAACAAAACAAAAGACTAAACTTGTGAAAGAAGTTTGTAAACATGGAAATTCACATATCTTTCAGAATCATCACTTTCCCCATTATTTGTTACAAGCCGCATCAATTAGTACCAACCTCATAAGGTACTTGTTGTACTCAGCCTCTTCTTAGCAACCTCATTATTTCAACCCACAGCCCATATGAGCCATTGCTGCGAGAAGTTGAAATTTTGAGCTTTCCGTGGATTGTAGGCCGTGTTTTCTGGATATAAAGGCTGTAAAGGCATAGAGAGAGAGACATAAATAATGGTTGTAACGTGAAGAGGAAGCAAGTAGACTTGTATCTATTCGAGTATCCTTGGTGAAAAGACTGTTGAAACTTCCTGTATATGCTAGTATACGTGATATGTGAGTTGCTACTACTAGTAAGTAGTAATAAAATCAAACATACCAAACTAATCTATATATTCAATATTTGGTCGTTTAAGACCTAAAAGAAGACTTAATATGGTCCATATCACTACCACCAGGCGACAACACAATCCCCACAAAAAGAGAGAATGTCGTGCTCTCTTATGGGCCTTACCATTTTGTGTGGGTTTTATAGCTCTCAAATCAGATCTGAAAGAGAAGTCTCAAGTCCTACTTGTTCCCTTTTCTCCTTTTTGAAATTAATACTCACAAGAAATATAAAACTGCAATGAAACCTATATGATGATTCGATGAAATTGACAAACCACAAAAGCAAATAAACAATAGTGGTATTACTCACATTAAGAGTCTCTGTTTAGCTAGTAATTTGTGAAATCCTAGTTTACTAGGTATAACTTATAAGTCAAGTTTAACTCTTCCACAACACTTATCCAAATGTTGCAAAGCAATGTAATTGACAAATCAGATGAAAGTGAAGAGTGAAGGACATAAAAATGGAAAAAAGGTCTCAACCTTTAAACACAACAATAATAAGAAGAAAACCAAAAAATAGACCGAAACTCTCTCTCTTCGATAAAGTGACTAATCAACAGATTCAGCAAAGCTTCGGCGTCCGGCAAAGCGTGTGCGCGTGCCGGTGCCGGAGGCATCATCGTAGGTGTTTTCGTCTCTCTTGTTTGCTGCTCCATCACTTATATGCTCTCTTTTGTTATGTTTTGTGGATCTAGGTTAGGGTTTCACTTCGGGAAGTGCTCGATCGCGACGAGTTACGGCTCCGGCGGTGGTTCTGCTTCCACTAGTTTCACGGCGAGGTTGTGGAGTAGTGGTTCATGGTTTCAGGCGGTTTTTTGGGTTAAGGAGCTAAGTCGATTTTCAGATCTAGATCTGCTTCGGGTTCATTGCAAGTGCGGAGGAGGAGTGGCCAGTCATCTCGACGGTTTGGTGGAGGGTCTTCGCTGATCTTAGTTGGTTGCTCTAGTGATTACGGTGGTGACATCTTGGTTCTTGACAGTGTCCTCAAGCATCAGTGTTCTCCTTACCGTAGTCAAGTGTGCTCTCACTACAAGAAAACAGATATTTAACAACTACGCAATTGGTTGTTAATTGGTCGTAATATGCCTTTTACGACCAATTAACATCGAAAACCAATTGGTTGTTATTCGCTAGTCGTAATACACAATTAGTGGTAACGTAGTCGTAATATTATGACCACGATCTGTAGTCGTAACCTAGTCGTAATATTACGACTAACATATTGGTCGTAATGTAGAGGTGACATAATTAGTCGTAATATAATTAGTCGTAAAGCAAACGTAAACATTGGTAGTTAATTAGTCATAATGGTAAAACTAAGTAACATCGACAGTAGTTCTCCATTGGTCGTAAATTAAAGACTAATTTACGACCAATGTTGATTTTATTTTTATATAATACGATTTTTTAATTTGCTTTTTAAATTTTTGGTTTTAATTCAATTTTAAAAAAAAATTAATAAGAAAATATATATAAAATTATATTTGATTAAAATAATATATAAAGTATTCATACAAAAAAAACCGAAAAAAACTATGCAGGTGTGTTGTTGAGGTTCATTTCCTGGAAGAACTCGGAACTGTGCTGCTCCGCACATCGCTCTAAATCCACTTGCTCCGCACATCGCTCTAAATCCACTTGCTCTTCCGGAGTGGGGTCGGGGTTAAAGCTCGGACGTATAGCTTGCCATGCATTAGCAACCGTCGGGTTTGGGTTTGAGTTCTCCATCATAAGATCGAACATATTCGCCATAGCCTTGAACTTGTCTTTATGCTCGTCTATGACGCTGTTGGCAGCTGCTAATTCCCGTCGGAGAGAGGAATATTCTTCTATTCTCGCTACGTGTTTGGCCCTCGCCCTCGGGACATCGTTCACAGTCCCGATCCCAACGATACGTCTCATTTTCTTCGGAACAACCTACAAAATATCAAATATTATTTACTAATTAATTATATTTATATAATTAAGTACAAATGTGAAAATTTAATAAAAAATTAAAAATGTTAATAAAGTTAAAAATTAAAATAATTTACCTGCTCAAAAATTTTGTCTTGGTCGACGGTGGAAAGCTGGACCGGTGGAGCATCCGGATTTTGTTGCGACATCTGAGTCTGGATCTCTTCGATCCGAGCCTCTACCTCATTGTAGATCTTCTCTTCTTGAGGATGCACAAAAGTCCCATCAAAACGCTGGTGGGTAATCTTGTATAGTCGGGCGAGAGATGGTGGTGCTCCTTCTTTGGCAGCCTATATAAAAAAAATTAATTAAAATTTTGCATTCAAAAAATAATAATAAAATCAAGAAAGATCAAACACTTACAATTTGAAGTGCCCTCCCAGCATATGGGGTCTGCCCGGAAGTATGAGGTACTGGTGAGTTACCTTGAGCATCCTTGGTCATTTAGACCGTAGAGTACTTGATAGACTTCTGCATTGACTCAGGCTTCATCCAAAAAGCCACCAAACCATTCCAAACGTCATAGCTGAGGTAGGTTGGTTTTGCGTCATCCCGTTTTAGCCTCCAGTCGTCCTTCGAATCCCCGTTCTTGAGGCGTTGCATCGCCTTTTTGTAGAACCCAGCTTTGACCTCCTCGTTGACACCAATCGACCAATTCCATTTTTGCTACAAAAAATTTATGAATAAAAAACATTAGTTATAATTTAACATACTATGAATTAATTTTAAAAAAAATAAAAATGGAAAAACTAATTATCGCGAAACACTTGAACCACGTAATGCGAACGTGGTCCGGTGTAAGAGTCCAGTTCGGATGGGCATGCCAAAAATTTGCCAGGATGATATCCCCAACACTCTGTCCTAAAACATTGTCCGTCAAAAACTCACAAAATTTGAAAAATTTATATATTTATATCAATATCTATTATGATTAAATAAATTTTTAAAATTTAAAATTTAATTAAATAATTTAGAATAATTACCAAAACGTGTCGGGGAACCGATCCGGATCGACGATTCGTAAACCTTCTCATCCAGGCATCCGGAGAATACCTTCCACCGTATATCTCGCATATGGTGCATTCGGCGGCACCATCAAATCTGGATGAAGACCGGGTGCAAGAGCCGGATCAGGTGCGGGATGTGGGGCCGCGACATGTGGGGGGAAGGCGGAGGGGGAGGGACATACTGCGGATCCGGCACATAAGTAAAGAAATCCGTATCGTCAACCTGCGAATAGTACAGAGGTTGATCCTGATGATCATTAGGATTGTAGGCCTGTGGAGGCACATACGACGGGTGAGTACTGCCCGGTTGGGTGTCCGGAACCGTGTCATGGCCGCATCACGTGCCGGCGGATGATGTGCCTGCCGAGGTAGAAACAGTGGGGTCGTTTGATGATTGACCGAGAAAAGTACTCCCGTAGGAGTTTCTAGCCGCGAGGTTCCGGATTCTCTTTCTACCAGACATAGCAATATATATATATATATATATATATCTGAAATCTATAAAAAAACATAGACCGGTTAAATTAAACAATTAAAATATATCTAATTCCAATCCTAAACTAATTCCAAACCTAATCTAATTACCTAACTAACCACCTAAAACTAAAAAAAAAAAAAGACACTCATCTAGAGAGAAGTTGAGTCGTTGTTAGAGAGAAGGGAATGAGCAACTAAACTGCTTCCGCGAGGTCCCTATATATATACAGTTTTGGGCTTGGTCGTACATTAGTCGTAATTGTACGACTCAATTACAAATAATAGTCATAAACTAGTCGTACTATGATGACTAAGTTACGACCAATACATATTACGACTACATTACGACTAAGGTGTGTCCATCTAAAAATTACGACCAACTAGGGTCGAAACATTACGACTAGGTTACAACTATTAGTCGTAACCTAGTCGTCATGTTACCACTATTTAGATTCGAATGATAAGTTAGTCATAATGTAGTCGTTTAACACAATTCGAAACCCAAACCCCAAACCACAAACCTCCAACCCCCGAACCCCAAACACTAACCATCAGATCCCAAATTCGTAATGTAGTCGTTTAACACAATTCGAAACCCAAATCCCGAACCCCAAACACTAACCATTAAATCCCGAAACTCCAAAATAATTTCATAATGCAAACATAATTAAGATATTGGATTATGCGGATCATAATTTCATAATGCAAACATAATGTATTTCATAACAGAGTCAAATACAACTGACGTTAAAGTACGTTAGAGTACATAATCAAACTCGATCACTCGTCCTCAGAAACATTTTCCACTTCATCATTTTCTTCAAATTCATCTTCGTTGACTTCGTCCAAAATTGCATCGTCTTGAAGTTCTTCATATATCGGATTATGCGGATCAACAAGTAAGATATCTTCAGTAGGCGGTTGTTCATCGTTCAATACTCCGACATCTTCTTGTAAAGGCGGTTGTTCATCGTTCAATACTCCGCCCCGAGGTGTAACTTTTATAGCGGCTAACCAGGAACTTCCAGACTGTATAAAACATGCTTGGTCTGCTTGAGAACCCAATATGTAGGGCTCAAATTTGTTGTACCTCTGTGTAGCATTTACGTCAACAACACCAAACTTACTATACCGAACACCTCTATTGACAGTGGGGTCAAACCAGTCACATTTGAAGAGTACGCATTTGAGCTTCATGTCGGGGAACTCCACTTCGATGATCTCTTGTATGATTCCGTAGAAATCTGTTTCGCCTTTCACACATACTCCATAGTTCATTGTTCCTCTCCGGTTTCCATATTCGTAAGTGTGAAAAGTGTAACCACGTGTGAAATACATAGATGTTGTGGTTACCTTCGCGACCGGACCTTGTATCAATTCGTGTAACCACTGAGGATAAAATGGATCATCATAATCGACCTGCGGGATCAATCATCAACATATATATATATATATATATATATATATAGATAATTAAATATATATATATATATATAATTTCATAAAAATATATATATTTACCTGCGTTTTTAACCACTTCATAAAGTTTTGATCTTTCCTTTTGTTGATATCATTGGTTGATATCCCTGGTATAGCATCTTCGACTTGGGCAACGAAATCATTGTTTTAAAATAAATTGATGATATTAAATATCGTAGTATATTTGTGGTAATTGAAACACTACGGCATATAAAGCATACTACTTACTTTACAAAATACTAAAGATCCTCGTTGTTAAGGAGTATATATGTGTGGGGACTCTGAGCGTCTTCAGAACTCGACCACCAAACTTCTCTCAATTTTCCACCTAAACGTCCAACCTAACAGAATATGTCTGGAACGTCTTCAACAACATATGTCGGCACAACACCACCATCATCATACCTGCTCGTTGTTCTTTTCCGTGTCCGGGCTTGTGATCCAAAGTAGTACGACGTGAAATGAGATGTTTCTGCATTCAAACTTCCAGCAACTATTGAACCTTCCACTCTTGCCAGATTTTTTGCTTTCCCTTTTAAATGTTTCATGGCTCGCTCGTAAGGATACATCCATCCATTATGAACAGGTCCACGAAGCAGTGCCTCATACGAAAGGTGGATAACAAGATGTTCCATGACGTCAAAAAAAGTCGGAGGAAATATTTTTTTCCAAATTGCACATCAAGATCAGGATATTCTCATCAAGTTGTGTAATTACATCTACAGTTAAGGTGTGTGCGCTAAGATCTCTGAGAAAAGCTCTAATGCCTACAAATAATTAATGTACAAGCCAACTTAAGAAATTTTCTAATGTACATGGCGAAAAAGTAATAATTAATAACTAATATTATTTGTTACCTGCAAGTGCTTTGTGAACATCTTTTGGAAGTAACTCCGCAAATGCAAATGGTAGAAGTCGTTGCATAAACACATGACAGTCATGACTCTTCATCCCTGAAAACTTTTGTCTATGCTTATCCACACATTTTGATAAATTTGAAACATATCC